TCTGAACTGTTATGCTCACGTATTCCCGGCAACGCAATACGCATGTGCAGAAGATCATTTACGACAAAATTGGCACGTTTTAAGATAGTCCAAAAAGAGTTTTACGACAAGCCGGCGCTTTGCGACAATATAAGTCGGCAAGTTCCGGACAGAAAACCGATCTGTGGAGGCTCGTCGTCGGAGATTTTTTTTTTTTTGAGAACAGGCGAAAACTAATGCGCGCGTGGATGTCATCCATTAAATTAAGTCGGTGTAGCCTAACTTATTAATACATAATGTAGATTTACTCAACATAATGAAAGTAACTATATAATTAACTTCACACGTTTAATTCAATCTAGAAAAAGGCGAGCAGGGGTCTGGCGTGGAGTCGCTGATTTGAGAAATGTGTATATATATTGGCAATATCAGGAAAAACATATTCAAATCATATTCGAAGCCATCCATAATGTTCAGAATATCAAAGCGGAGGGATCGTTACCTGCGCACGCGCGGGAATTGAGTCCCACCCGACGATAACAACACGTGTTTAAAACGCAAAGGCTCATGGGTGGACGCTTGTTTGTAAACAATGACATGCTATGGCCATCTGCCGCATGCGCAGGTGACAACACCCCCGCTTTAAGGCAACTATAAACAATGAATATACTCGTACAATTTACAAAACTGGCACGTGAATAACTCAAGGCCAGTAGACAAAATAACATGTAGATCCGCGTCTTTCAATCGTAATCGTAATAAACATGTTAGACACATAAATCTTATCGGAACACTCATCGCTTGTGTCTCCTTTGCTTTTTATTCGAGGTTCTTCATCTGTTTTTTGTAAATATTATGTCTCGTTATAACAATTACATCATCGTGGCGGCTTCATCTATCCCACAGTGTTATTAATTCGGTCGTCATGGTGACAGCACTGTTACTTTTAAATGAATGCAGAGCTGTTAGATAGTATAACACTTTTGCCATGCTAAGCATATATTATTAAAGACCTTTGATATCACAATAGCTGTTAATTTTCTATGTGTGCCTATGATTTCCAGTGTCTTGCTGCGCAAATGATTTGGGTTTAATAGTTTCATATTCCGTGGAATGTGTTGATGTAAACACATTATTATTGGTAGTGCTACATGCAATTTATCTAAAATACGAAGATTATTCATGCACATATTCGCAACAACGTTCAGACGTATTATGTGAACTATTGACTTGCATACACGTGTACTAAATTGCGCGGTTACATTTCAAACATCAATAACAAATCGCAATTTGCAATTGAGGAAATTGAATTGTTACAAGAAAAAAGAACTACCGGTACATTGTGCTTGTTAAAATCTAGAATGCAGTATCCGAGACTCATCCAGGAAATGACTTCCTTGAAAAAGATCATTATTCCATGTAACGTGATCAACCGAATCGGAGAACAATCACAATCCAAACTCTCACTCAGTAATATTGCGTCTTGAATCACTATATAAAAACGACCCCCTAACCATGTGAAGACGATCACTATACATCTATTATCCGCCAGCACACATAATTCTAATCTTTGAATTTATGAATATTATTAGCATACATTGGATTTATTCAAAGAAACAATACATGGCCCTCCCCACATAAAAATATTGATGGGGACACGAGGTGTTAAGTTACCAAATTGTATTAGATTCATCGTTTCTGCAAGTTTCTGTAACTCGGTGATTGTTACATTGAAACGAAGAAATATATATATATATATATATATATATATATATATATATATATATATATATATATATATATATATATCAGTTCTTTTTATTTAGATCATGGCAATTTTTTGGTCAGAGCGCCCTCTAGTTTTGTGGAGAATCATGTTCATTTGGAATGCTCTGATTGGATGGAAGTTCAAGCCTAGCAAGGTGTGATAGAATTGGCCTGTTATGTTCAGATTCAAATAAGCATGAACCACTAATTTGACAGGGAAGTGATACTTATAATGCAGCAAGCTGTTCTAATTGCTGTTGTGGTAGAGTTTTTCTATTTTCCTGTCAAATGCATTTATTGGTCCACTGAAAAATGAAAATAATGTTCCCTGTAACTTAGACTCTTATTGATCAAGGCATTTTAAAAATCATGGGTGTTAACTCCCCTCAAGTTATGACCCGTTGTCCCCTACAGAATAATGGTTGCATCTAATATTAAAATAAAGATGGCGGAGTATAGCGTTGATTCATCTCGTTCTACTCTGGATTACTTGGAGTCAATAAAGATCCTAGAAAGTTAGTATTTATATGCCTGTGTGTTTTTTGTTTGTTTGTTTTTTCACTGTCTTTGACTTTCCCAGTATGTTTGTTGCTGTTGACAACAATTCAGTCCTCTGCCAGGCTTCAGTCAATGTTTTTCTTCACTACCTACCCAACTCCTCGTCGGGCACTATGTAGCTGGTGTGGTATATTTATCACAGAATTCAGCGACGAGTTTTTTGGAAACAAGTTTATCCAGTGGTTTCCTCAGACTGCTGCCTGTGAAAAATACAAAAAAAACAAACTGTAAATGACTATTTCTCTGATTTACCATTTCAGGCATATTCAGTGGGTTTTAAATTTACGGTTTTATCATTTTAATACATAAAATGTTCTATGCATTAGAAGTCGGGAAATGAGCAACGAATATTTGGATTTTTAAATGAAAACGAACATACCTGATAGCCCGGTTGATTTGAGGGATAATATCATTCAATATTCTGAACTGGTTCGTCCGTAAGGATACACCGCGTTTTGTTGGGTGACCATTATAGTGCTCGCGAATGTGAACATAAGTTTGCCCGCAAAAAGTATTCACTGTGACAAACAATTGCTTGACTGGGCAAAGCAAATATGTAAAAATGTCGGTCTCACCTCTCGGTGGAGCTGGCGACGGACGCGTTGTGCCACTTTTAGCTAGTGCATTCGTGACTTTGCGTCGTTTAATACGGCGAGTTGAATTTTCAGAAACATCGGGCTGTGCTGTAGCTGGAGTAGACATTCCAGGAGTCGCGTCCTGTAGGAGACTGCCTGATAATTCATTGAGGCAGGTGCTGAACTGGTTCGAAGCCATGTTGCGAGTACGCTCGTCAGTGATAAAATGATTCGCAATACTATCATCTCGTGTTAAAAAAATCCCCCTTTCTGTTGCCCCGGATGTTTACATCATGTCAGCATTTTTCCCAACCAAATCAAATATATTTATAGATTTATCACACACACAC